GGAAATTAACGCGTAATTAAAGGAGCAAACCGACGAAGCAGAAGCATTTGCACTAGCTAACGCTTACACGGAGCGACGATTAGTTAGACATAAATAAATCGCTTTCGATATGCATTGTCAACAGTGACGTATATATATCATATTCACGAGTTCATCTTTGGCTAAAACTATGACTTTTTCATTTGAAAGTTTTCACTGTTTTCAAGTGATAGGCAACTGTATTAATTGCCACGACAGAGCTCTCCTGGAGCTTTTCTTCCCTTATTATCCATTTATTTATTTCCACCACTTTAAAGCTATTAATTACATAACTGCTCCAGCAGGTCTCACCATGTCTTTAATTATTACCACGTAAGTGGAACAGAGCTCAAAGGTAATTAAACAAACTCCATAACTAAGTTAAAATTAGTCGGCCGAGCGGTCCATATCACGTGTTGTTGCCTTGACGACTTTTTTGATGAGTTGTTCCCCATATGACAGTCACTGGCAGGATCAAAACAAATCACTTTCCGAAGGCACCACTGGTCACATTGGTTTTTAACATAAGAAAAGCGGCAGACCACGTTAGCTGCTCTGCCACGTTAAGCTGATTGTAGCTAATTAAAAGACTTAAGACAAGAACTTTATATTCTTACTAATATGTTTACAATTAACCATTAAATTTTACCTGCAATTAATTTTTTATTCGGGTCCAATTTAGTTTAACGAGCATTAGCATATTTTTCAATCAATTATTGGAAATAAACTGGAACTAAAATTCTCTCAGTAAATGTGTGCGTATTAATAAACTGAAACCGAAAATATCTTTTGCGTTTCTTCGAATCCGAAAATATTTTCAAAAAAAAAGAATGAAGAATACGCCCAGTTCTTTTTTTACACGGTTGATATGTTCCTTAGAAAACCGCGCAAAACAACTTTGTGTAGAAAAATACCTACGACATATGAAAAATTTGGCGATGCATTCTTCACAACTTTGAAAAATCGAGTAAGATAAAAAACTCTAAAGAAATTGCCAAAAAAAAAACCGTGTAACAAAAGCAATTACAAAATCCGTATAAGATATTTACAAAACAAAATTCATTTTCATTAAAAAAAAAAAGAAATTAATATTTGTGTACAGTGAAAATTCAGTTCATAAGCGGAAAATATAAAAATTTTAGCTGAAATTAGGAATAAAAATTGGTTTCGCAACTGTTCAGCGTACATGTTTATTACGGACTGGATCATCAGTACATGTGCATCGTCTTTTCGAATTTTATTGAAATCTTTATTATCTATTGTATCCTGCGAGCTGAACACTCTATTACAGTACAACGAGATAAAGAAATAAAGCGATCACAAATTTCGGGTACTCCTCGTATTAGGCGGGGGCACTAAGAAAGTCAATGTTAGAATTTAAAAAAAAAATTTGTTTTTGGGATTCATGCTGAAACAAAAAAATTTGTATGTGAACCGTGTTATTTCAAAATCGTTTAAAAGAGTTACAATAATTTATATAATAATTTAATAAACCGAATAATCTTATTTCACATGACTTTTCGCCATTACTAGAGAACGTGGTTCTTACATAAAATCTCCAATGCCAATTGATTGCTATTAAGGGCCTAAACATACATAAGTACATTAAGTGTCACGCGTAATATTACAATATCTTTCGGATCTACTGAGACGGCTTCTGTAACCAAACCATAATCGTTTTTTATACCTGGGTTCTCAATCGATCGAGCAATCCTTGTATCAATTTTCATTTTTGCGATTGCGGTTATGCGACTAAGAAGGTATCCAAAATGATCCCTCTTGTTAAAAGTAGGTATGCACCCTAATGTGTCCAAAAAGTTAGACCAATTTAATTTTGTTTCGTTTTTAACTCTATTGTCGCTTCTTTTTGCGAATAGCGTCACGCAAGCGACGCATAATACTCAAATAATATTTCATGTTAACAGTTTGGCCCAGTGGAAGAAACGAGTTCCTATTATATATAAAAATTGGAATATTTTTGTTTTACAATAAGGCCTGTTAAGCCGCTCTTCGCTACTTATGAGTTAATGCTTGCAACTGAAGTGCAAAATAAAATGTGAGATATCAGTATGTGTTCCTATATACATTTTTATGTGCTTTTGTATGTATGTAACAATTTATGCGTATTCGTTAATTCTCGTTTAATGCGTCGTTCTTGTTGTTGTTATCGTTGTTGTTGCTGCTATTATTTTTAGTTTTCAATTCAACTACCGACGCTAAACTGTCTCTTCATGCAATAATGTTGTTGTTGTTGTTGTTGTTGTTGTTGTTGTTGTTAGTGTTCTTGTTTCTCTTCTTTCTACCATCATCCACATAAAATTGAGATTAATTTCTTTTAGCATAATAAAGTGCTGACGCACTTGTTTGTTGGTTGATGAAAAGAAAATGTTTAGCTGAGAAATGTGTAATTTCTTCTAATTGCATATCAATAGCGTAGATGTTGATGTTTTAACACATTTACACACGTACAATATTTTGTTGTTATTGCTATCACTCGTAATGTTGTTGCTATAGATGTTTCTTTTTTTTTTTTTTTGTTATTGGCGTGTCTTGGTATGATCTGAATGAATTTTATCTGAAAGACATAAAAACAACGATGGTCGACAATTAATAATGATTTAGCTGCTAAAACGTGAGTGTTGTTGTTCCCGTTGGCTTTTTTAGTTGCGTTGTCGCTTATTGCTTGTTATTGAATGTCATTCTTGTCAATGTTGTTGTTGTTGTTGTTTTATGTATTGCGTTGGTGAAAGTAGAACATTTATCATAAATATAATATTTTATTGATTTAAAAACTAAATAATAATTGATTTTCTACGAAAACACGGCATTCATCCCTTTCAAGACTTGCTTGCTTTATCTCACCGATACACGGTAATCATGCGAACCGATTATAATTGATTTTTATTTTTTTTTGATTTTTTTTATTGCATACAATGAATATTTTTCATTTCGTATTTTGTGCGTTAAATTTTTATTTTTACTTTTTACTTGCAATCAGACAAACACATGTACGCACGCTTTTATACACTTTCTTTAACTAAAAACAAGAAAAAGTTTTACTATCTCTGTCTCTGCGAATATGTTATTCCTGTTATGTTCTATTCTTTTCAGTTTGCTTAGACTAGTTGGCGTCATTTTGCGCTTCTTTTACTATCTTAGTCACCGTTTAAATAATTATTTATCACCAGAATGCTTGGATTTTTAGTTTCTTTAATGATAGCAAATTTCTGTCTGTGCATTTGTATATATATGTGTACGTGTATGCGTGTGTGTGTGTGTGTGTGTGTGTGTATATGCAGGTTTTACTTTTCGTTAAATTTTTTTTTATTATTATTTATCTCGTGAGAGCTTTGTAAATTTCAATATGCTAAAAGTGTTTTAATTACTTTCGGTAAAAGTTATCTTTTATTTGGTATTGAAAATATTTAAAGTAAAGAAAATGAATGAACAATAAATAAAGAATTGGTGGAATTTTAAAAAAGTATTAAGGCTTCACTAGACAACATTTTTTTCTACTCATTCCATTAATATCATTCCTTTTCATACGAATTAACTTTAGCATCTATATAACATTTAGTCTATTATTAAACAATATTTGCTTTTAATGAAAATTAGGAAGTATAAGAAAAAAAATTCCTTACAAAAATTATTATATCTGAAAAAATTTCACAACAAAACAAAAAGAATTGTAAAATTCATATGCGATTTGAATCCAGCGGTAATTCTATATAATCCATTTTAACAAAAAAATATTGTTTCTTTAATTTACACGCATTATATGGAACCATATTTTAGAATTGCGTTCATCTATTGTCAGTATATAACCATATTCATCTCCCGCGTAAATAATACAATCGTTATTTTCCGGAGACCAGCGCACATCTTTTAAGCGTACATCATGTTTTTCATATAAAGTTAAAGCGAGAAAAGATTTTTTTTTTTTTTTAGTTTTTTCAAATATGAACATGACGTAATTACCCAAAGCTGGTCCTATTTCGCGGTCATCCCATATTAAACAGGACTTGTCCAAAGAGCATGTAAAAAAGATATTATCATTAGTCAAGGAGGCTGCCGAACCGGTAATAACATCGCTGTGAGCGAACTGGAAAATTTTATCAAGGAATACATCAGCGCTACTTATGTCCCAAATCTGTGAGTGTAACTTATTGAATTAGCTCAATAACAGAATTACTTTACTTTTACGGTTCCACGTTTAGACGCAGTCAATGCTTTACTTTCATTAGTTCTAAATGTGCAAGTTGTACTAGTAATGGCAAACTGTAGTTCTTCTATTTGCTTGATTGGTTTAAACTCTTCGAGATACGTGAGTTAGCTTTTGAAATGCTTTAGTTTACAATTTATATCGAACTCCTTACAATTGGTCCAGAGACGTTCATGTGTCAATCCCACTTCCGTTTCAGTCTCATATGTTGAAGGGGGCCAAATATGATGCAGCAACGAAGAACTGGGGACCAATTGCAACAATTTTTTATCACGGATTTCCACGCCACCCATCAGGTACCGTGACAGGCGCGTTGCCAGTTGTTTTCAATGTCTGGCTCCCCTTTACGCCTACTTCATTATATACATATAAACATATTCTACAATTATACTAATTACACTAATTTAATATAGAACTCTTTCCTGTTGTTGTATATTAATTTATATAATTTATATTTAAATATAAATAAAATAAATAGCTTTATTTATATAATAGCTTTATTATACATTTAAAATACTTTATTAATGTATATAAAAATATATATAAAAGAAATTGTTATTCTTTTTAATGGTTTCCTGATATTTTCCGATTCTTTTTCCTTGAATTGGTCGCTTTTGCTCTTCTATCATCTCCTCTAGATGTATATATAGTGTTTTGGAAAATACGCAAACTAAACTTATTTAATTTTACAAGTTATCCGCCTGAATGGCAAGAGTCTCGACTTTCAACTCAATGTCGTGCCAGTGCATGCATAATACCTATGGAGAGAGGTGAGTTAAAATGTATAACTAGTACACATATATTCGTACAATGTTTGCTGACTAGCCCTTCAGAGACTTTAAATGATCGTAATCCTATTTTCTTAGTCATAGATTCTCAATGTCATACATGCTTGAAAGTGTGAAGATTTTTACCTAATTGAATGTGTTAAAGGTTAATATCGAACATTTAAAATTTCTGTATTTTACAAGTTAGCTTAGAATTAAACCGTCATAATTTTTAAACAACGCCCTCGCTAAATTCCCTGTTGAAAGGCAAAGCACAGAGTCGCTTATAATATATTTAATGGTTAAAAGCCCAACTTAACAACTTAAATGTTAACGCCAATCAGCTATGTTAAACGCGCAACTTAACAGAAAACAAAATTATTTTGCTTACATGCAAGTTACCTCTCATGCAATATTTATATTTACAAATTTTTATATCAATATAAATAGAAATCTGCAAGTGTGGCAAAGCTGTTCTTAGCAAACATCTGCTATTAGAAACAGCTGATTATGCTGCTTTCATTGCCGTGGCATTTGGAAAAGTTGACAAATGTTTTAATTTTTTTGTAAATAAAATGGATCCAGAAAGTGAGCGGGTACTAAAGTTAATCTTCCCGCAAGGTTTACCAGGTAAGTAATTTACGTTAACATTGTAGACACAATAAATGACGTATTATCATTTGTAGAAAATTTGCGCAACAATTCTGAGCTAGTTCCTTACTTACAAAAATTGGGCTCATACAAAGTAGAGCAATTGAAAAAAGAACAAGCTCGATTAACTGATGAAGCAAAAAATGTAGACGAGCAAACTCAAGATTTAGCTATTTCCAATTATAAGACGTTTATACGAACGGCAGAAAACTCGCGTTCAATTTATTCTGAATTTAAAAATGCCCAAAATCAAGTGGAAAAATTAATTGACAAATTGCCAGAATTGAGTGAAAAATGTGAAAATTTCCTTAAAGAATCAAGTGAAATTAACGAAGCCAGGCGTTTGAATTCAATCACATTAAAGAAGAACGCTCAACTATTAGAAATATTGGAATTGCCGCAGTTGATGGAGAGATGTATACGAGAGGGGCATTATGAGGAAGCTTTGGAACTGGCAAGTTATGTGCAGAAAATAGGCGACAATCAAGGGCACATACCAATAATAAAAGTAAGTTGATTTTATCTATGTTACGGACTTATTTTTGTATATTGCTGTTTTGTAGACTATTGCACAGTCTGTCGAGTGTTTGTGGCATACTATGTTAGTGCAATTAGTAGCTCAGCTACGGACAGATTTGCAATTACCTAAATGCTTACAAATCGTAGGTTATTTAAGACGAATGCAGGCTTTTGGTAACAATGAGTTGAAATTAAAATTCCTACAAGCGAGGAACACTTGGTTAATGGCCACTCTAAGTGCGATACCAAAAGACGACGGTAAACCAAGGATAATCTTATTACAATACGTTTTGTAATTTTTTACTTTGTTCGTTACTTCCTACAGCCCAGCAACATCTGATAAAAAGCATTGAGGTGACTCGTATAAATCTTTTCAATATTATAACGCAATACAAAGCTATCTTTCCTGACGAAGACAAAATGGCGACGTCTACACATATTCAAATGCCTTTAGAAGGGGTTTGTTGTAACGGTGAACGACTGTTTCAAGCGTGGTTGCATGAGAAGGTAAGTTACCTTTAGTTAGTAGCGTCCTATATCCACCATCGAAATTTAGCATTTTGCAACGTGTAGTAATAGCTCCAAAACACACTATGTAAAGTGCATAAAAGACAAAAATTTGGCGTAGACCTAAAAATACCGCTCCATCTCCCAGTCCACTTGTCTATAGCTTTGAAATTGTGAGAGTCTTGAAAGTTGAATTTAATAGCTAAAATATACTCTGGAAGCGTTTAAATGGGTTATCCTTGTCAATGGTGTCGGTTCCCTTATAGCATAAACTAAGCTCAGAAAATATTTTTACTTATAACTGAAGAGTTGCAGCTAAGAGAAGCTTTCGTTCAAATGTAGATTAGAGCCGGTTAAATGATTTAGGTGGTGGATATCGGAAAGTGGTTTAAAAAATATCGAGCCCATTAATGAGAATAACATGAGTTAAGTATAATTTAATAATTTGGCCCACTACTTTTTATACTATTGAAATGTTATGCCACATGTAGCTAATGTTATTTTTCCTGATACTAGATTTCCGAGTTCTTGGCTACTTTGGAAATGGATTTGCAACGTGGTATCACTTCGTTTGATACCGTGCTGGGTCAATGCATGTACTTCGGTCTCTCATTTAGTCGTGTCGGTGCTGATTTCAGAGCGTTGATGGCTCCTATTTTTGTAAAAGTTATTAGAGAGAAATTTGTAGAAAATATTAACTTAGTCAGTAACCAATTTGAGATTGAATTAGAAAAGTATACATTAATTAACAAAACAACCGTGCATACGCGTTCGAATCCGTCAACGTCTGCTGCTGTTAGCGAAACAGAATCTTATTCCCCACCCGAAACTTTATTAGATTTCCAACCCTTGGCTACATTGTGTAATGGTTATTTAAATGCGTTAAACGATTTACGCTTATGTGCTCCTATTGCTTTGGCCAATGACGTGACACTAAGTTTGCAAAGCTCATTAGAAATGGTGGGTCGCCGCATATTAGGATTTTATAGGCAAGAACAACAGGCATTCACATCCAATGAAAGACAAATCTTTTCCAAATTATGCGAATGTTTTGCCTACGATCTGCTGCCTTATCTACAAAGGTGCATACGTGCAGTATTTCCGCAAGTTAATTTGTGTACTCATCTGGGTTTAAGTTTAAATGCATTCGAAGAAACTCAAATTACATACTTGCGGCAGAAAATTATTTTAGAACCTTTAAACGATTTGGTACCGCACAGAGTTGAAACAGCTATGAAATTAGAAGCAAATAAATCTATGGAGGCAAATATAGCTGCGATCGAGTGTTAAACGTAACAATGAAGAAAACCCCTTTTTCTTTTAAAGTAAAAATAAAAAGAAGAAAATGGTAAGTACTTTAATTAATTTGAAGTTTTATCTTTATAAAGATTAAGCCAATTTATAAACAGATGATGGAAAGTAATTTTTTTTTATTTATATTGTATTCGTCTTTGTTGTAATGAAATAGTCCCCAAATTATCCTTATTTATAGCGTCATATATGAATACATATGTACAAACAAACTGTCAATTATTTATCCGCTCCTCCTATTAACGAAACTGTAAAATGATATCCGTAGGAGGGTGTGCTAGCAGAAAGAGGAAAAATTCAGCTCATTTATTCGATTTTTTGCGTCCATTGTGCTCTTGTGTTGTTAATTTATCGATATAATTACTAAATGACCAAATGGGGAGTTTTATTACACCAGCTGCAAAAATGATGACCGAAGCATGTGAATTTTATACATTTTACTCCACCCTCTCTCTGTGACAGTTAGAAAAACGAAGCGGTGAGCGGTCATTACATGTATTTGTTTTCTATCGATTTGACCACAGTTTCTATGTATTTAGTGAAAAGCGTACATTTGTTCATATAGGTATCTTATATATCTTATATATATCCAATAGCATGGTTTCGCGTGGCTAATTTCTGACTTTAACTGTAATTCATAAATTACATTATTTATACTTTGATACTCTTCGCTTTCTTTGATTTATGTACTCCCATTATCACCATCAGTACGTGGGGCAGGGTCAGGTGTATTATTCGGCTTTGTTGAGGGAACACTACTTTACAGCAGCAGGTTAAAATTGCGAAACGAAAAATCAGCCAAATATTTTAAACGGATTTCTAAATCAATGATATAAATTAAGTTAATATAACTTTTAACTCTTCTTATAATTGGCAAGTTGTGGAAAATTTTTCGGCTACTGCCTTCAATAATTCGGAAACGAGAAAGTGATCTACGAGCATGTCAACACTGCAAGACGTCTTTCCACGATCGTTGTGAGTAAACACTTATATTAAGTTGGTTAGTAATATGACGATGATGGACGTAAACCCATCCATTCTTACTATCAGCATTGTGCAAGTACTCCAAGAATACTCTGCCTAAAAGTATAAAGGGTTTTGACCAAAACTGTAGGTAAACTTTTCTAACAGTGTGAGCGATTTCGAAGTAGGAGAGACAAATTTCGCTCGTGTGAACTCGTTTAAAAGTATTTCAAGCGGATGAAATTCACTGTTGTCTTAGCAAGAAAAGTTATGTGCAAGATATGAACTTCTGACATTTTCATTAGCTAAGAAGCTACCAGCTTTGAATTATGGCTGTTATTATAGTGATCAAGTTGTTCAGAAAATGCAGGAGGTATTAATGCAATAAATTGAACTAAAATATTGGCTAAGAAATATTCAAATTCACAACGTTCCCTCTGTTGTAGTTTTAGAACTCTTACTAGACTAATCATAAGTAGTGTTAAGAAGTAGTCGCATCAGTGAATTCAAGTGTGGATGATTGCGTATTCTGGTTTCGTAAAAAGTTCTGTTCGATTCTCATCACCGAGCTTTAAACAGCAGGTAGAATATACTGAAGAAATAGGCAGCTAACGGAGATTTCGAAGCAGTATTAATAATGGTAAAGCCGACTGGCAGAAAGTTGGCACCAATATATCTCCCTAATAAAGGAGATTTTAATGTCGTACGATATCTTTGCAAGCCAAGTAAATCATGCCAATAATTTGAGTTGTCAACGAACTCGTCTTGCGTTGTCGTCCATAATGTGGCATTTAATGCCACCAATTACATAGAACGCTGTTTTGTACAAACCAGCAATATATCGCATATCTCCAGCATTCCAAGTTTGCTAAACAACAATAATGATCAATTAAATCGTTATGACGTATCACCAGACAATACGATAAAAGGTGAAAAAACCTATAATTGAAAAGTGACTTACAACAATGCCACGTTGAACAAATCCAGACTTGCAAAGCTCAAAGCTCGTTTAAAGTCTACGTTAAAGCGACACCGCCGCTGCCGTCCGAGACTAACAATATGAATCAAAGATAGATATTAAGATTCAATATTAAAAGCTCCCGTATTAATGATTAGTCGAAATGCCAATAACATGAAGAAAATTCGCAGTCCTAATGGGACGCTCACAAAAATGTCGCCATCCAGTAATAACATGACGTAATTCACCAATAAAATCTGCCAAATCAAACGATAAAACTTGACAGCGCTCAAAAGTCGCTAGCATTTAATGGGAAAGAAAAAATCCACACTTCTGATATGCTGCTGTATATAATTAGACGCAATCTCAGATCTGACGAATAGTAGAAAAGGAGCGCAGGTCGGCTTTTGGTATAATTAATTAATTACCCTTAGAAATGGTGGAAAGGAGTAATTTTTCACATCCTAACATATAAATGAGTGAACTGAATATTCTTGCAAATAAAAGAATTTTTAAAAATTTGAAATTTTATGTGCATTTCAATGTTTTACTTGGTTTAAATTATAGATGATTCGTGTTGTCCTAATTTTACTCAACATCCTATCATACCGTTTGCACTCTCGCTTAGAAAGTGGCCGACTCTTATTCATATACTCAATACGTTGCCTTCTCCTCGATGGGTGAATTACAGGTATGCTGCAAATAAGAAGACAAATTCAGTATCCATCGCTTGGATAGGAGCTGCTCGCGGGCATACGTGCCTTAAAACAAATATTGATTAAAGCGCATCAAGATGTGGCCAAATCGTTACATATTCAGTTTGTATTTTCCCTTTCCAATCGATAATTTCCATTTTTCAAGACAACAAATTTCCAAATTTCAAGCAGTGGAGTTGATTTTCATTTTGAAGTTTTCTGAATTACAAATTGCTCGGGATCTTCGGCTAGCGAGAAATACATATGTGTTTTAAATGATTATTTTGATTGTCAAATGAATGTGAGGGCATTGTCGAATAGGCTGATATGACGTTAAAATGATTACTTGTTTGAGCCCCTAAATATGATTGTATTTGTAATTTATTTGTTATTTACTATGCTAAAGACGACTAAAGGCTTGTGTATTGCAAATTTTGACAATAATTGTATAAAACGCGTGAAAAAGAAGGTTTTCGTGGATTCACGCTTGACTGCATGTTTGATTGCAGTTTTATATCGAAAATATACGCTGGTCGGTCGCATTGGTTTATAGATAGGTGCAATTTTTAATGCGTACCACCAGGTTCATATGCCAAAAAAAAAAGCGCCATTTGACGGGCTCACATATACATATCCACATAGAAATGTTATATCAATTTATTGGTTGAAGGAAGTTGGCAGGGCAGAGGATAAGGCGGAAGGTGATGGTGGTGGTAGTGGTAGAGATATATGAAGTGATATTTATGTAATTCCGCGAACTTCTTTTTTATCTACTGTTACTGCTAGTGCAGCTTATGCAACGAAATTCGTATGCTTACCCCCTCCCCCCCTCTGCATATATGCAACGTTATACAATATTTCTTTTGTGGGTTAAATGGTTGATTTAGATTTGAGGGCGCGGAATGTAAAAAAGAAAAAAAAAAAAAAACGAATACCAACAACAAGAACCATAACAAAACTAAAACTAAGGATACATATGTTTGCAGGGCTGTTTGTAGTTAGTCTTCATAATATTACAAATTGGGAGGTGGATTTTATGCTTTTAAGTCTACCACTAAATACCAACGAAAGCACTTAAACATGCTTTCGTATACACAAAGTTATGTACATTTCTATGTGTATATGCAAGCATGGGTAGAGTGCAATATGTAAAGGTATAAAATGCTTGCACAAATACACACAATGGACATACTAAACTTTATATGTATCGATATACAACAGCAACAAGAATGACGGCTAGAAAAACCAATGTAATATAAAGTCGTATACCGTTACTCGACATGAGAAAGTTGTATGCGAATGTGTGCATAGGCACGCTACGCTACAAAGCTCTTTATATCTACAATCATATCAATATATATATATATATATATATATATATATATATGTATATATATTCAAATGCAGATAAATGCCTATATGGATGTGTATTCTCGTATATAAATGGCATGGAATGCAATGCTCCAACATCGTTATACTCATGAAAATTCGCATAAAATCAAAATCGGCCTTTTTTGGTTTGAAAATCCTCTTTGCCACTTTTTCCATAAAGTTTCTTTACGCTGCATGCTATACGTGAAAGTTTGGTTACGTTATGGCCCCCTCTCTATACATGAAAGGAAGAAGTAGAACGAGAGCGAAAGAGAGAGATAAAAGTCCAGTTTGAATTTGGTTTTCGTATGTTGTACGAATCAAACTCTATGGCAATTCAAATGGAATTTTGGATTTTGATTGCGTATACGTACAGGCGAATAGATTTTGTGGTATTTTTAAAAGCAATCTACTACAAATAGACGCATATGCAAACACATATGGCACAAACGTACAAATAAACATAGGTATCGAAATGCACTAAAAGTCCAAAAATTCTACTCAAATTCGCACTCTTGCAATTGCAAATGCATGCGTGCTCTTATTGTTGCTATTGTTGCTATAGTTTTTATGGCAAAATGCATGCAAGTGATTGTGTGTGCTTATGTGTGCTATGTACCCATTTGATTGATTGGGTTCGGGTTGCAGTTTTCTTTGTTTCTCCGTTTCTGTATTTTTATTTATAAAGCCCTTGTGCATGTGAATGCATTTCTATGCTGATAAAATTACATATCTATACACACAAACACATATAACCAAATTCACATATATGTTTATATACGTTGTATATATATATATATATATATGTGTATATATATCTAAATATACATAAAAACGTGCACATATCGTTTGATTTTATGCGATTTTATATGAGTACTTGTACTAACCGCTATAGATGGTAGTGGTTGTTGCTTTTGTTACTGTTGTTGATAGAGTTTGAGTCTCTCTTTGCCGTTTAATTCAAAACAAATTTGATTTTGTTAACCTGAAAAAGCTGATTTAGGCAAATAGACGAAATTGTTTTCCTATTCAATACAGTTATCTTTTTTG